ATTTATTTTTATTGTCCAGAGTGAAAGTTTCAGGCTGGCAAGGGGAATTTTTTATTACCTGTAAGCAGAATGTTAAAACTAGATGTCCAAATGTGTTAAAGCTCCATGTAACTCTGATGAATTAACATTTTTAGAAGTATAGGCATAGTTTTAATCTCCCCTAGAGGCAATATAGTTAGGAGCTTTTGGTTTCTATTTTTGGCAGTAAGAAAGTTTTCTACAGGGGTAGCCTGACTTTACTTTTATGCAGTTAAAAAAAAAAAACAAACTGTGTGTGTGTGTGTGTGTGTGTGTGTGTGTGTGTGTGTTTAAAGTTCTATGTGTCAGGTCCCCATTGATTTAAGCTATTCTTTACCATTTAAAAAGTTCACCCTCAATCTGAAAGAAATTATACCAGTAGTAAATTTTTTACTCTGATTAAAATAGTTCTGTGTACTTACTATAAGGAAATTAATTCCATGATCAACTGTTCAAAGCATATATATTTTGAAAGAACATTCTCAACATCTCAGTACAATTTTATTGTTTAGATTCATAGGTGGATCCTATATTTTCAGTAAAACTTAGTCACTAAAATAGTACAAGGACACCTTTTCAGACAACTCAATGTAAGTAAAAAAATTATTTTGTAATATATGTCTTTAAGTTATGAAAGAATTTATTTGCATTTTAAAAAATTGCAAAGTATAAAGCAGATAGAATATACATATCAATTAATTAATGTATAATGTCATATTGGGAACTGCTGTTTTTATAAAACTACTGTTCCTCCCAATTATGAGAAATTTTGGTATAACTATTCTCATGCTGCCTCAAAATGGCTACCTCAAGATACAAAAACACTTTTTAAAAAAGTAAAAATAAAGGAAGACCTTTAGTTAAATCTTACAAATATCTGAGAAATAAGAGTAACTGTTACCCTTGACTGTTTCCCCATTTTCCCATTTCTGAGATCTACCTCATCATCACCTTACCAGGGATAAAGTGAGCTTGCCTGTTTTGTATAGTTTTACAAATGTTTGCCAAACTCTTTTCTTTACGTGAGGTAACTCATTTAGTTTGAAGGGACAGACTTGATATAGGGGGTATGAGTATGGGTGGGGGTCTCCAGGAAGTTTCCCGTCTCCCTCCTTGATATTTATTCTCTGTCCAAGTTTTGGTGTTGATGCTAGTCCAGGGACTGAAGTGTGGAGGGACATGGGTATGGCGATGTATAACCTTACATGATTCTTAGTAATGAAGAAAAGAAATTGGAGATTTTGTTTTTTTAAATATTAAAAGCAAATGAAGATAAGGAATTCTGTATTCTTTGGGTTGAAAATTATATTTTAAGCATGACACCAACAGGAAAAAAGAGTGATAGTTTTGACCAATGAAACAAGTTAATAGAGAATTAACTGGGAAAATATTTTGAGCATATATGAAAGAGGGTTAATCCCAAAAAGCAAATCAAGAAAGAGAGCACTGATGGAAATAATTGTCCAAGGGATATATGCAGGTAACTGAAAAAGAAGAAATAAAGGTCTTTAAGGGTACTATATTCATTTCCTATAATTGTTGTAACAAATTACCACAAACTTGATGGTTTGAAAATGCAAATTTATTCTCTCAGAGTTCTAGAGGTTACCAGTCTGAAATGCCTTTTTTAAAAAAAAAAGATCTTATTTATTTGTCAGAGAGAGAGAGCGAGAGAGAGCACACGTGCAAGCACAAGCAGGGGGAGCAGCAGGCAGGAGGAGAAGCAGACCCCCCACTGAACAAGGAGCCTGATACGGGACTCAATCTGAAGACCCTGGAATCATGACCTCAGCTGAAGGCAGTTGCTTAACTGATTGAGCCACCCAGGAATCCCCTGAAATGCTTTTCACTGAATCAAAACCAAGGTGTTGCCATGACTATACTCCCTTGAGAGACTCTAGGGGAGAATTCATTTTATTGCCTATTCCCAGCCTCTGTGGCTGCATTTCTTGTATTTCTTGGTTGGCTCATGGTCCTTTCCTCCAACTTCAAAGCCAGCAGCATGGTATTTTCAGATTTCTCTGAAATCATCATCACAACATCGTCATCATCTTTTTTTTTTTTTTTAAACAGCTTTTATTTTTATTTTTAGATTTTTTTAGAGAGAGAGAGCATGAGCGGCAGGAGGTAATGGGGGGGAGGGCACGGGGAAAGGAAAGAAAATCCCAAACAGCCTCCATGCTCAAAGTGAAGCCCAATGTGGGGCTTGATCTCACCACCGAGAAGTCATGACTTGAGCTGAAACCAAGAGTTGGATGCTTAACCGACTGAGCCACACAGGCAGCCTGGTCACAACATCTTCTGGCTTCCGTGTCAAATCTCTCTCTGCCTTCCTCTTATAAGGATACTTGTGATTGCATTTAGAGCACACTCAGATAATCCAGGATAATCTCCCCGTCTCAAGATCCTTAATTTTATTACACCTGCAAAAATCTCTTTTCTCACATAAGGTAACATTCATAAGTTTTAGGGATTAGGACTTGGATATCTTTGGGAACCGTTACTGAGTTTAACACAGCTAAAAATACCATGTATGGTCTAATGATACATACACACAATTGTTTAGTTTGGGATTGGTTATCTGAACATGGTAGAATTATAGGGTATTTATAGTTTCAGAAAGGCCCCTTTTGCATTGTCTAAATTTTTATGGGATATGTTTTACTAATGACCAAAAAAAAAAAAATATTATTATCAATTTGGGAAAGAGAATGTTTTTAAAAGACAGACTTTATCTTTTGAACTGTTTCAGATTTGCAGAAAGGTCAAGAGTTTCCCTCATTATTAATATCTAACATTAGTAGCATAATGTATTATAATGAATGAACCAATGTTATTATGTTATCACTAACTAAAGTGCATACTTTATTCAGATTTACTTAGTTTCTCCCTAATTAGTTGTGATGATTCTCGGGCTTTTCTTTCTTTATGAAAGAAAAGATCTTGATAATTTGAGAAGTGCTAGTCAGACACTTCATAGGATGCTCCACATTGGAATTTGTCTGGTGCTTTTCTCACGGTGAGACTCAGGTAGGGGTTTTGGGGAGAGAAAGAACACAGGGATAAAGTACCATTATTATCATATCATTTCAAGAGTGCCTGCTGTCAACATGATTTATCACTATTGATGTTGACCTTGCTCACCTGGAAAAACTACATAACTTATTTGGATGTGTGGTGTTTTGTTTGTGTCCTTAGAATGCATCGTTATGATTCTGTCAGATTCATGTCCAATTGTCATAACTCTTCCAACATTCTCAAAGGATTCTGTTAGCCTTTATGAGATTCTGAGCATGGCTAAGTTAATTTTACATTGAAGATTTCTTAGAAACATGTAACTCACAATTTTAGGGGTGTCTGAAATTACCTGGGTGGGTTACCTGTTCTAGTATCTCAAAGATTGTGTTCAAAATACAAGTTAGATCAATTATTTTCTTAGATATTGCACATTATTCACAAAAATATAGCTGGACTTAAAGTTTTTTTTTGATGTAGGAAAAAAGAATATTAGTTAAAAAGATATTCATGGGGTACCTGTGTGGCTTAGGTGGTTAAATGTCCAACTTTTGGTTTCAACTCAGGTCATGATCTCAGTGGTTGTGGGATCGAGCCCTATATCTGGCTCCCCACTCAGCACAGAGCCTGAAGATTCTCTCTCTCTCTCTGCCCCTCCCCTACTCACATGCAAGCTTTCTCTCTCTCTCTCAAAACAAGTAATTTTTTAAAAAAAGATAAGAAGATATTCATGTTGATAGGGAAGTGTAGGTGTGAAATACACTGTACTAATAATTTTGTAGTTGGGCTTGCCATTCCTTAAGAAACCTTGACCTTTATAAGACCTGGTCTCTTTGATATATCTAAAGTGTCTTGTAGTTCTCCTTTGACCTATAGTACCTATCATATATACTATCATTTGCTGAATATCTGGCTTTCCGTCTAAACCGAGAGCTCCAAGAAGCAGTTCTGCTCACTGCTATGTCCCCTGTGCCCAGCACACAGTAGGCGCACAAGTATATGACTGTCATTACATATGCTAACTCTTTAGAGCACTTTTAGACATGGGTCACATGTGTGGGTAAATAATCATAACATAAAGCCGTGTGAAAAAGGTAGTACACAACATGTAAAACAATAGTAGTAAAGAAAACAGTTTCTGTATATCTGTATGGAGGAACAAGACTAGAGATAAATATTGTAAAATATTAACACATTATCTCTGGGTTATGAGATTATGGCTGGGATTTTTTCTTCTTTGTTTTCCATTTCCCTTCAAGGAGTTTATTATTTTCTAATCAGGAAATGTTAGACTACATTACCTGGTACTTTTATAATCAGATACAACAGTGAGCCCCACTGTAAAAATGGTTCCATTCTAGTATGAGGAAGAGCACTTAGGGGAAGACAAGAAAGCTGCAAAGTCACTGACCATCTCTAAGCATACTTTTTTTTTTTTTTAAGTTTCATCAAAACCAGCTCAAATGTTGTTTATCTAATGTTAATTTTAAAGTGCCATTTAGAGCTATATGGGTCTGACATGTCATTTGTATATTTCACTTTGCTAATTTAAATTTAAATTTTGTGCATTTAACCTGTTAGATTAAAAACCTCAGAGAACTTTATTTTCCCATATTTTAGTGTTTTAAAGAAGTCCTGGGATGTAGAAGTTAACTCTTACCTGGGAATATTTGCCTGCTCTTATGTTTTTCTTAAAATGAAAAAGGAGTCCTTTTATTCCTCAATTGGCGCTCTTTAGATGGAGATGAAACCTTGGATTAGGTTGAAAAAAAAATCACTAAGAGACCCTGAAGAATTGATTAATCCAGGCCATTTGTGTTTGTCTTGCCTGTTTCCCTAGGATAATTAAATGGTGATGGATCGGAATTAGGCTGCAGCAGAGACTGGGGGAAAAAAATCTCCCGGCATCCCTTCCCGCAGAAGCGTCAGCCACGGCAGTGAGTGCAGCTGCCACTTTAACTGACATGTCTTAAATTCTGCTCTGGGAAGCTCTGGGATGCTGTCTGCAGCCTCGGCAACTTCTCTCCTTATGCCCCTTAATTGAGTCTCACTGGAGACCAAGACATAGAACAGAAACTGAGGATTTTTGTTGGCCTTTAAACTGAGGACTGTCTTCTTCTTTTTGTTTGCCTTAAAAAATCTGGTAGAAGAGAGGGAAAGGCATCTCCACAGTGAGGCTAGACTCATTCCTCCAAAGTTACAGCTGCTCTAAATCTGTGAGTATGTGGCATTTTTAAAGCTGTTCCTGGGGGTCTGATTGCAGCGTTCTGTTTCGATCTGTGAGGATTTAATTTAAGGATGGCTGTGAAAATTTTAAAAATAGGAGTTAAATCTCACTGGAGACCTGCAGTTTTTGTTAATTGACATTGTCAAGCTGGTCAGGGCTCTCCCCCAATCCTCCCCCCGCCCCCGCCTCCCCCCTTTTGAGGGTGAGTGCTGAGACCGGAGGAAACAGTGCGTCTTGCTACTGCAGGGGACGTGGTCTTCTCCGGATGCCATGGCTGGCTTAGAGCTGCTGCAAGGTGTGCATGGGACAGCAGAACAATGGAAGGCTGATGATGGCTCATTGTGGATTCACTGTGTGCATCTTATGGCCTTTGCTGGCTTCATTATAGGGTGTTGTTTTGTTAGGGTGATTAAAACCTTAAGGAAAGATTAAGTACACTTGGCATGCTCTCAGAATAGCGGGGGTTGATAGTCCTAGACTTTACCTCTCACTGTGAACCCCTGCGTTGGCTTCTCTCGGTGTCTCTCTAACAGGTGACAGGGGGTGGGAATTACTAAAAAGTGACCTTTGCATGACCACCCGTCTTCTAATTGTGCATTTGAATCGGTGCCATTTTTTTCTGATGACGTAAATTCTTTAGCCTTAACATCTGTCCTTAGTCACTGTGTCCTACTTTACCCTTTTGGAATTCACCGGAGGCTGGAACTGTATTCTTGCTGAAATATTATGGAATCAATTTGAACATTTTGTGAAGGTAGACGTTAAGTTTTGGTTCCTGTCAAAACCCCCGTATGTTCTTGATTTGTCCTTGTTAAATGAAAAGTCTTATGATTTCAATGATTCATATTATTGGGTTACTGATCTCATTCCTTTATCTTAAAAATCACCTTAGCTAAAGCAGTTCCTAAAAGTTGATTTGTTCAGAGATCAGTAGTCAAAATACTTTTAAATGGCAACTGCTAACACTCACCTTCGTAGGTATAGAATATATTTGACTGAGGGGGGCATACTATATGAGCTTTGTGGGTATCAGTATTTTGGTTGATTTCCTGCAGTGTGAAGGAAAAAAAGGATTTTAAAAAAGAAACTACCCCCACCAGAGATCAAACATATGCTGTTTTTATTTTTAAACTTTTTTTTGACCTAAATGTAGCAACTTCGAATTTAATTAGGGAGGATTCCTAAAAATAGGAAATTCTGCCTTACCTAGACTTATAAGGAACATAGGTGTATTATTCATTCATTCGTTAAATAGACGTTTATATTTGTTGCAAATGTCTTGCCAGGCCCTGGGGTAATGATACGGAACAAGATATTATATGTGCCCTCATGGAGCAGATATTTTTAGCAGGTGAGGGGAGCATTTAAAAAGTACTCCATTATTTCATTACAACTGTGGTAATTTTTCAACTGTAGAAGTCTAGATGGTTTGTGGCCAGACATATATACAGGGCATACAGATCCTTGCAAATCCTGTCCCAGATCTTTTGAAGCAACAGATCCTTGGTATACTTGAGCTGGAAAAAGATTATGAAAATAATTTGATTAGTTCAACAAGTATATGATAAGCATTGTATTAAGTGCTGGTTTCATATCACTAAATACGGGGGAGCTTACAGTTAAGTAAGTGCAGTGGGAGGGGAAGGGAAATCGGTTATGTTAGTATATTTTTAGTATCTTACTGTTTCATTCATCTCATACGTATTTATTGAGTGTCTGCTGTGATGTTGGGCATGGTTGTGGGAACTATGCTGGGCACTGGGGATGGGGTGGAGAATATGGCAAAAACACCCTGCTGGCTAGAAACTCCTTAAGGGCCACAGTGGAGAAATGCTAGGGTGCCATAAAGAATACACAGGAAGGGTCAAGGACTTCCCTATCATTTACTGAGCATCTGCAGTGGGCCAGCCACTAGTTGGTTTCTGCACACATTAACTTCCCTTCCACCCTACAAAAGACATAGCTATCTCTGTTGTAACAAGCAGGTACCCCAAGGTACAGAGAGGTGAAATTGCTGGGTCACATAGGAAGTAAGTGAAGGAATTAGAACTTGATCCCTGGTGTGACTTGATTTCCAGTCTCTGCCCCTTCTGGTGGTCACCAGGACCCGAGTTCTAGAGGGAGATCAGCGTTTATTACAGGCTACCCTGGTGTCTGTGGGCAACTAAGTTTAAGAACCCTTCTTCTACTACTCCCTCGGTTTATAGACAGGTAGGGAGTGAGGACAGAGGTCACACAAGTTAAAATGGGGCCAGTAAACCAGATTTCCTAGCAGCCGCTGTTTATTTCATTGGAGTGTGTTAGAAGATACTAAGAAACCAAAAGCAGAATGAAAAGCAAAGAACAGACCAAAACCAACCATCCAAGTAAAACAAAACAAAGCAAAAATAACAGCAAGAGCTTGAACTTGTAAAGGTGTTTGTCTGGCCTTGATTTTGAGGAAGAGTCCCTGGCAGCCTGACCTGCCTTCCCTCACAGCCCAGATTCAGAGGTCTGCCTGTGCTGCCTGTTGGTTGCTTGGAGTGAACAGTTAACTTTTTTTTTTTTTAGAGATTTTATTTATTTTTTTGACAGAGAGTGAGAGAGGGAACACAAGCAGGGGGAATGAGAGAGGAGAATCAAGCTTCCAGCTGAGCAGGGAGCCGGATTCAGGGCTCGATCCCAGAACCCTGGGATCATGACCTGAGCTGAAGGCAGACTCTTAACGACTGAGCCACCCAGGCCCTCCCCCTTTTTTTTAAACAGGAGAAAATATCTTGAGTTATTAATAGCCATTCAGGCATTTAGAATTTATTGGAGGATACAGAGAAGAAACTCTGAGTTAGTTTAAGAAAAAAAAAAAAAGGACACTGTCATTGGGATGTAGTGGGATAAATGCAGAGGTGTGGAGAAGGTCAGGGCTCTGTGGGAGCAAAGATGAAGGGTGACTAACCCAACCTGGGATGATGGGCAGGAATCTGGGCAGAGGCTGACCTGAGAAGGCTTTCTCAAAGAGGCGATGTCTGAACTGAGGCCGACACCGGACATGATTGATCGGTTTATAGCAGGAGGGTTTATTAAGTACAAAGTCCTGAGATAGGAGAGACCATTGTAGGAGAGGCCAGACTTTTCTCCTCTACTGTCTTAAATGTATTTCCTGGGCCCCGCAAATTAAATGGACAAAAGAGGAGCAGAAGGAAAAAAAGAAAGTTTAATTGCATACACACACGGGAGTTCACCAAAAAATGTACCTCAAGGAGGTGGTTAGAATTTGGGGCTTATATACTTTTTTTTTTTTTTTAAGAGGCAGAGGGAGAATCTTAATCAGGCTCCACACCCCACACAGAGCCCGATGCAGGGCCCGATCTCATAATCCTGAGATCATGACCTGAGCCAAAATTAAGAGTTGCCTGCTTAACTGACGGAGCCACCCAAACACCCCGCTTATGTACTATCTTGACGAGGTACAATGAAGTGTGGAGAAGAGGCTACGCAAGGACGGGGTTTTAGGTTTCTGGATGAGCATTAAATTGTAGGAAGACGACTAGGAAATGTGTGGTAAGTAAGGATTGTTGAGTTAGGTTTTTGTGTAGATAAGAGTCCTCTCAGGTGGTAAGATTTATCCCTGAGGTAATTCTCTTTCTGGTGCGGGAAAGGGAAACACCTTTACAAAAGGAAATTTATGCCCTGTTTTTTGGCCAGGATGGGGAGGGTGAGAGCTAATTGCTTCAGCTCAAAACAGTCTTTATGTCAGAGTGACACATTTCAGGGTGACATACTCTGATCCCCTTCACCATGTTCTCTTCAGGATTTATCAAGAAGCTTGGGAGTCCTGCTGTTCTAGTGAGGATAGGCTGGTCAAAGGAAGACATGCTAAGGGCGTCTTGCCAAGGAGCTGTGGCAAGGGCGGTGACAGACCACTGAATTGCATGGACTTGTGTTTAGACAGGATGACCTGGACACAGTGTGGAGACAGGCCTGAGGGGTGGGAAAGAGTGTGCTTCAGTCCTATATGATTCTTTTGGTTCTAATACTCTGCAAAAAGTTATTGATAATTTAGGGCTTAATGGACTTTATGGCATAGGCTGAGAATTTAACATATGTGTGTATATATGTACCTATGTATGTATATATGTAGATACACACAAAGAAATAAATATCAATCATTGTTTGTATAGAAAATATGTTTGATTTCCAGCACAGAGACAGACTTCTCATTTGATTAGTAAAAAGCTTGAGGCCTGCCATGAAGTAGGGGATTTTGAGGCTCCCTGGTTTTTTTGCTCTGTCATCCACTTAAGATTTTCATATCTTAGTGGGGAAGAAATGAACTAGAATCTTTTTAAAATGTATGCTTCAGTCCTAGTACCCATGGTGAGTCTGTCTTTGTATTTTCAATGCAAACTATGCTGACTGCTCCCTCCTATTTTATAGATGAGGAAGATGAGGTGCCCCTGGAAAAGCTGTTGTACTGTGTCCCTTAGCCATAGATTGATTGGGGTATAGACAGCCCTCTCCTCATTTTATTTATTTATGTATTTATTAAAGACACAGTGTACTCCTGGATACATGTGTCATGAAAAATGATTTTTTTTTTTTTGTGCCTTATACCCAGAGATCTTCCTAACATTTTGCACTTGCTTTCCACTTAAAAAAAAAAAAAAGAAAGAAATTACTTATTTACTAGAAAAAGAGAGCGAGGGAGCGAGAGTAGGGAAGGGAGGAAGCAGAGGGAGAGGGATAAGCAGACTCCATGAGAGCACGAAACCCCCCTGTGGGGCTTGATTTCATGATCTGAGCTGAAATCAGGAGTCCGATGCTCAGCCGGCTGAGCCACCCTGGCCCCCATGCTTTCCACCTTCTAACACCACATTTACACTTACTTCTTTGGCTCATTTTTAAACTAATCTCTACATTCAGTGTGGGGCTTGAACTCACAACCCTGAGATCAAGAATCCCACGCTCCACTGACTGAGCCAGCCAGGGCACCCCCGGCTCATTTTAGAAAGG